TGAAGGAGTGCTGGGTGCTCTATGGGGACATGCAAGCGACAACCATGCAGAAATCAATTAAACTGAGATTGTGCCCTAGATTATGTCTCACAACCTCCTGGTATGAACTGGAGCTCCAAGGTTCCTCTTTAATGGGGAAATTGAAACTCACTGGGATAGGGGATGGGGTAATTTGCCACTAAATGGAAGAGCTTGCAAACCAGGACTAGCAGGCTTGGGATGAGGGAAGGGTGGGGAAAATGCGGATCGTTCAGGCAATCTAGGTTCACAGGGTGTACTACAGAAAGTGTCCTGACCCTGGATGGCCCAGGCTAGCCCCGTCTCATTATATCTTGCAAGCCAAGCAGGGTTGGCCCTGATTTATACTTGGATAGGAGACCACTAAGGTTGAATAATTATCGTATGGCATTGTGTGTGGTATAGCCAGGAGATCTGAAGACTGTCTGGCAGCTTTAAGTTCTAACTCTTTTTTTAGCAAGCTAGACATTATTTTGGGCTCAAAGAGCTCTGAGAGAACTATGACTGGCCCAAGGTCACCTAGCTGGTTTCATGTGGAGGAGTGCGGAATTGAACTGGGTTCTCCAGATTGGAGTGCGCCACTCTTAACCACTATGCCACGCTGGCTCTCTATCGCTAAGGAAGTCCAGGGTAACTGCTCAGAGGCAGGCAATGGCAAACCACCTCTGGAAAACCCTATGGAGTCATCGTAAGTCAGCTGCGACTTAAGGGCACTTTACACAAACACCATGGCAAGTAACAAGCCAAACTGCTACTTGACTGACTGAGTCTCGGAATACCAAGGCCTGTGTTAATCACCGCCCTTGTCATTTGTATATGGCTTTCTGTATCTTTCCTAATGGATCCTAAAATATCCCTGAAGCTTTTGGTAGAATATTTGTATTCTTGGGAACTATCCTTGTCCAGGGAGTGGTCCACATTACGGGTTTTGTCAGGCTTGATCAAAGACTAAGAGCCAGTTTGGTGTAGTGGTTAAGTGTGCGGACTCTAATCCGGGAGAACCGGGTTTGATTCCCCACTCCTCTACTTACACCTGGCTGGATGACCTTGGGCAAGCCGTAGTTCTGATAAGAGCTGTTCTTGAAAAAAAGAGCAGTTTCTGTCAGAACTCTCTCAGACCCACCTACCTCACAGGGTGTCTGTTGTGGGGAGGGGAAGGGAAAGGAGTTTGTAAGCCGCTCTGAGACTCCCTTGGGTAGTGAAGGGTCCAATCTCTTCTTCTTCTTCTTCTTATAGTTAGATTTAGGTGGGTAGCCATGTTGGTCTGAAGCAACAGAACAAAGTTTGAGTCCAGTAGCACCTTTAAGACCAAAAAAGTTTAATTCCGAGTATAAGCTTTCATGTGCATGCACACTCTGATGAAGTGTGCATTCACATGAAATCTTATACGCCAAATTAAACCTGGTTAGTCTTAAAGGTGCCACTGGACTCAAACTTTGTTCTAACACCTTGTGGTTAAAGTGTCATGGTTAGGTGCTGCAGAATTGTTTGTATGCTACATCTTTAGATAGTAGAATCTAGTATGAATGTTTTTGTCTGGCTTTGCTTATATCCCACTTTCCCTCTCATTTGACTCACTTTTTCTCCCATGGAACTCACAAGCAGCATGTATGCAGGTCCCAGGTGGTCTCCTATCCAGAAACTGGCCAGATATACTTAGCTTCATTCAGCTAAGCTGCTGCATCATGAACCTTCAAATCATGTTCTGGGCCTCTCTTTGACATCTGATGAGCTATGGTCTCTTTCTCCCTTCTTATAGGTGCAAAAATTTCTCTTGGCTCTGAAAAACAACTTGCCTTCCATGACGGTGACAGACCACATTTGGCCTCCTGCTCCTTACAAATTTCTCAGAGCCGCTAATCAAGAACTAAAGAAGATATTCCACCATTGGCGGGTTAGAAATTGAATGTAGCTCACTCTGGGGTGGGGGGGGAACTCTTGCAGTCTATTTTGTGTTTTTTAGTGAAATATGACAACTGGCCTTACAGGTCAAGTATAACAGAGGAAAACAATCACTGTCAAAACCCTGCCTAACCTAACAAACAGGAACTTGCTTAAATGTCATCAACCTGCCCAAACTTCTTATTTATTCAAATATTTATACCTGAAACTATTTAAGCATACATAAATTGAGGTTGTGATTGTAATATAAAGCAGCATTGGAGAAAAACAGAAGACAGATACATTTTAGCAATGCAAAACGTGACAGAAGCAACTTTCAACATTTCACTCATAAATTCTGGACAAAGCATCAGCCACAGGGTTTTTGTTCCCTTTAATGTGAGAGATTTCGAACTGGAAATCTTTCAAACTTAAAGCCTGCCTCAATATTCTAGCGTTGTTACACTTCATCTTATCTATAAAAGCTATCTGTCAGCAAGTAAAATGTAATTCCACTCAGGTAAGGATGTAATTTGTTTCCCACTCAATTATCATTAGGGCTTCGTTCTCTATGGTTGAAGTCTTGACCCCTGCCCCACCTTACACTGCCAGGAGCACATTGGGTGGGTGTTTCCTAGCAGTGGAACCCCCCTGCCAAACCAAGCAGGATTCAAGAAGGCGTGGCTCAGGAGAGTTGCTAAACTTCCAGTTTAAGAAAATAACTCCAGCAAGCAGTTTTCTGTGGATAGCGTTCAGACAGATTTTCACAAAGATTTGAACTTCGGACATCCTTGATTTAAAGTGAGATTTGGAGGCTTATTTGGGAAGAAAAGGAAGAGAGGTTATTTTGCTGATAAATTTTAAAACAACATGTATGGTGGGAAAGGTCTTACTCCCTGCCAATGACACTCGGGAAGCAAGGCATAAAGCCTTGGCATTTCTGCCAGGAGATCAGGAGCCAGATATGCATGGCTGTCGGAGAGGCTGTGGTATTGCTCATGAGAAACGTCCAAGTGTGGAACTAGCCACTGGCCCACTGCCATAAATTTGCTTTGGCAAAGTCTGATGTGCCATACCAAGGGCACGGCAAACCGCAGTAAAACAAACACCACATAAGTTCAGGGATATTTTTGGGCAGGAACACACAGGAATGGCGTTCCGGCTGGCTTCAGAGTTGGCCATGCCCACTACAGCCAAAACCTCTACATGTTTGGCTACAGAGGGAAGGCCTGGAGAGCGATCACCCCCGGTGACTCTGAGGCGGGTGGGCCAGGGGGGCCTCTGGAAGGATCGGGGAGGCATTTAAATGCCTCCCCATGCCTTCCTTGGCCTGTCCAAGGTCCGGCTTGCCCAGACGCCCCACAGCCACGGGGTGCTCGGGCAAGTCAAGGAAAGGCAGTTTAAACTGCCTTTCCTTCAAGGGGAGGCTTGCCCTGGCTCCCCACAGCCGCAGGGCGCCCGGGCAAGCCAAGGGAAGGCATGAGGGTGTGGCCTATTATGCTAATGAGTGCCTGCTGGGCTTTTTGTATAAAAAAAGCTCGGCATAAGTCCATGCTAGGCATCCAGCACCCACCTCCTTCACTGTCTCCAGAGTACACAGTGAGACTACATATCCACAATCCAGCAGTCTGAGTGAGGGGCCAGGCTCTACAGGTGTCAGGTCCCCAGCTAAGTCAATCTGCACACACACTATTGGCAGTGAATTTTTTATTAGAGATATGCTTGCTGTAGGTTCAAGAACTCTTGTCAGGACGGAAGAAAACCATGGGAACTTACAGGTTATAGGTAAAAGCATAAAATTCCACATTCACCCACGTCACACCTACCCCCTAGCGTTTCTATGGCAACATGGACAGATATATGGTGCCCTGTCTAACCTAGGCATGGCACAAAGATTCACCAAGGTCAGTCCCATGAGAACCAACACTTGGGGCACAACTTCAGGAATAATTATAGCGTCTACTTTTACCTGGAGATGTCAGAGATTGAAGTGGGGACCTTCTGCACACCTGGCAGATGCTCTACCACTGAGCCACCACCCCTCCCCAGTGGCAGTGCTTCCTCTGTCAAGCACAGGCCACAGTGACCCGTAGCCTGGCTGCTCTCATTCAAAGGGGGCACAATTCTAGCCTAACATGCAAACATTTAATATATCACACTGGATGCCAAAGAGAAATATCTAATTGAATCCGTAAGGGCGGGTGTGTGTGTGTGAGCTTGACACCAGGTGAGGGCACTGCCAGGTACTTGCTGTACTTTGCTGACTGAGATAAGATCTGGGAGAGTCCAGGCATATCTTAAATGCCACAGGGTGATATGGGGGTGGGGATGACTACAGTTGCCCAAACAGTTGGCTTGCTTAACCGCTGCAGTGGTTGGTGGGGCTACTGAAGGCTTTCCTAATCCACACAGCCCAATCCATTTCCTAATCTGCACACCCGTGTTACTCTGTGGCCTCCCCAATTTACTTCTGCTCCTGCTGAGGAAGACAGAAACACACAAAGTAAGGCCAGGGTCTCAAATAGTGGTCTTTTGTATCTCCTGACGCTTTTACCTGGAGATGTTAGAGATCGAACTGGGGACCTTCTGCACACCTGGTAGACGCTCTACCACTGAGTCACCATCCCTCCTCAATGGCAGTGCTTCCTCTGTCAAGCACAGGCCCCAGTGACCCTGAAAAGTACGCAGACGGGGAGTGATTTCAGCTTAGCGTACTTTATTAGATCAGGAACAAGACAACTTTAGCCGGCTCGCAGGCCGGCTTATATTCCCCGTGAAACCACCACCCATAACACACCCCCACTTCCCAATAGGTTATTTACAGTGGCCGAGAGTTCCATAGGCTCTCGGCCGGGAACCTAGCCCACTGATTGGTGCGGGCTAGGATCCGCATAGTCCATTGTCTTGTTGAGCAAAGCTCGACATTTGCGCTTGACAGCGTGGAGCCCAAGCTGGCCATGTGGTCTGAACTGGGTATATTACAGACCCGTAGTTTGGCTGTTCTTGACCTCTCATTCAAAGGGGGCACAATTCTAGCGTAACATGCAAACATTTAATATATCACACTGGATTCCAAAGAGAAATATCTAATTGAATCCGTAATGGCGGCGGGGGAGACTTTAAACCACGGTATTACAAACCTCAAAAGTTTTGCAAGCCTATTTGAGTGAGGTGAATTTGCTCCTCTTTCATTTCCACTACAAAACAGGAACGTTTTGGGGGGCCTACAATGCTTATCCTGTCTTGGTCTTTCCCTCTTCCCTACTTCTCTCTTGCAGTGTAAGAAATATCGGGACCAGCTGCCACCACAGAGAAAAGCAGCCCTCCAAGATAAGCTGTGTGCCAGTGAGCTGTTCCGGGACAAGAAAAGCCTGTACGCCAAGAGGTGAGAAGCGCTGGCAGACTAATTACAATGGATAAAATATTATTATTACCTACTCTGGCATTAAGATCCCCAGCCAGGATTATATTCTCTTGAGGGTATAGCTGGATCAGCTGTTCCAGGAAAGCTGTCAATTCATTCCACTGGCTAGTTAGGTCTGTCCTTGCTTGTGTGGGTGGCATATAAACATTTATTACTATAAAGGAAAACCCATCACAGGTGAGCAGAACTGTCAGGAATATAAGAACATGAGAACATAAGAGAAGCCAATGTTGGATCAGGCCAAAGGCCCATCCAGTCCAACACTCTGTGTCACACAGTGGCCGGAAATACCAGTGCCATCAGGAGGTCCACCAGTGGGGCCAGGACATTAGAAGCCCTCCCACTGTTGACCCCCC